CTGTCAGGTTGCCCAGGCGTAGACAGGAGAACGATTAGGGTTCTCAAGCAAAGCCTTTGGTTCAAAAACCTGACCGAAAGGCAGCGGGTTTGGCGGTGGGCTACAAGGAGTCCGTTTTAAGGAATAAGGTGCCACCCTCATTCCAACCCCTAACCTGGAGGACCAGGAGGCTGAGTTTGTCTGGCCTCTAATCATTGACCAATCTGGTATGAGTGACTCTGAAGGTACAAAAATGCACCACCCAGTATAGCTCAATGGATCATTGAGGCACACAAACCATCGCACCACGATAAGGTCCAGCCTCATTGCGATGGCCAGAGGTGACACAGCTACCAAGGTAAGTGAACCGATCCACCACTTCCAGTGGTTGTTCGGTGACAGAACCAGAAGTGCGTCGGTCCAGTATTGTAGCAGTACTTTGCAGCTTGAAGGTGCAAAGCGCATGCCTAAGTGTGCGGTGCTACGAGTCACTCGATGAAGCCGTGTTTGCATAGCCAATGCGTCGGACCAGAAGAGCTATGTCGTCCACATACTCCAGGTTTGTCAGTCGGTCGGTCACCCGGCAGAACTTCCACTCTAACAGAGCTTTATAGAAAAGGAGTCACGATCATTTCGATGACGAAGTTGAAGAGGAAAGGAAATATAGGAGAACCCTGGCGAATCCCACTTGCTGTGGGGAACTCAGGAGACAGATTCCCGTAGACTCTTACACGGCCTGAGGAATCACGGTAGAGAGACTTAAGAATAGAAAGGAATTTAGCCGAGACGCCCTTCATGGATAAGCAGTGCCACAAACTGGCACGGTCAACAGAGTCGAAGGCAGCTATCAAGTCAAAGAAAACCACCATTGGCGGTCACCTGTATGTGTCACTGCTCTAACAGTTGGAGAAGAGTAAATATGTGGTCGATACGACCACGGCGGATCAGTAAGTCATCGGAGGATGGTACCCATGAGGAGTTTGGATGCAATGGAAACAACGCTGATGACTCGAGTTTTGCACAAAGTACGTTGATCTTTCTTGAAAATCGGAACAGCAGTTGACAGTCGCCAGTCTGAAGGTACCTTTTCACTGTTCCAAATCGTGTCAAATAGAGTAGCAAGTCCAGTCAACAAAGGGTCACCATCATCTTTCAGCAGATGGAGGAAGCTCGTCGAGTCCATGAGCCTTGTTTCGTTGCAACACAGAAAACTAATGTCGAATCTCTTCCAAAGTGGGAGGTGTCAAAATTGTTTCCAACGACGCCTCAGGCGATTCGGCAAACGACAATGTCGTATCATGCCTACTGAACTGCTCTTCAAAATGTTCCGCCCAACGGGCTAGTCGATGACGCTGCAAATGGATCAGCTGCCCGTTTTTCTCAACTATTGTCTCGTTAACGGATGGCTTTCTCGGACCCGTGTTCCAGATGAGCTGGAACAGAACTCGGCTGTTCACAATAGCACTGGCTTTCTCCATCGCACGATCTATCAACGTCCAGGTCGGTTTAAGGACTCCTGGTGCTACGTCGTTTCAGAAAGTTACGGACACACTGGAACTCAGTGCCCATTGGAACATGTATCAGTGCATCGATCAAGCTGATCGATGCCTCAGAGATCCATTCGCAGTTATGACGTCTCAAGTTGGGTGCACAGCATGCGTCAAAGGCATTCTTCATGGCCTATTTGAGACAATTACAGTCAGCCTTCAGTTCACCAACCTCATTTATCACTGGCAATTGGTGGGCCAGTTCGTCGTGATATTGTTGAACTGCAGATTGTGAGTTCAGGTTGTGACCGCCACATCTGAGCCAGCGGTGTAGCGGTCTCAATTAACATACCAATGTTCCCGGGTTCGATACATGCATGTGAGAGTAGTATTTTCGGGAGAGCAACACCCAATTTCTAGCTGCTTCAACTACGGTCCTCGTGATCGAAAGACCAAGGTTCATTTCCATGGGAATCACGGGCAATATTGAGACTGTGTGCGCAATCCATCCACACAAGGTTTAATACAAAATGACCTACAAAAGTACCTCCACACTTCTGCTTCCATGACTTAGACAAAAGTTCAAGAGGTAAGGTGAAGCAGGCAATCTTGTCGCACACCGCCGAAGACACTGAATGGCGGCGGCAGTTTGTCTTAGATCCTCGCTCTGCCTGAGCTATGTGCTTACAGCGCTCTGAGAATGTTTACGTACTATTCGGGCACACTTTCCCTCAGCAGACAGTCACAAAGGGCACATCGACCCACCGAATCGAAGGCACTTTTTACGTCGAGAAACATAATGGTGGGCCGCCAATAGGCATGATGGTGCTCCAACAATTGACGCAAAGTGAAGAGGTGATTGATGCAGCCCCGACCTCGACGAGACCCTGCTTGCAATTAATGAATCTGGCTTACAATAGTTCCAATCAGTCTGTGAAGGATGATAGAGGTAAGCGATTTGGAAGCGATGGTGAAAAGACTGATTCCGTTATGGCTGCCGCATTCCGATCATGAGCCCTCCATTAAAATTAGGACTATAACGGAGTGGCTCCAGTCTGTCGGGACAGTTTACTGAACCCACAGTTTCACTAGTAACTAATTTAACTCATCCACAAGAGCAGGACCCCGAATTTGAAGATGGTTACCAGGTGGTTACCAAAGTCAGCGGCCACTTCCATTTCTGACGCACGATGAGACCGCCAAGATTCGCGGTCTCACCTCAAGCTAGCACGAAGTTTTGTCCGGAGGTTTTCGCGTCTCATTATGTTCGTTTCCAGCCGGAATGTGCCGGTGAGCATCGATAAGTTCCAGAGACCGAGAAAAGACCCAATGTCCATGTTGGCGATTAGACTTATCACATGAGAATTTGCCTGCTGCTAGTAAAGTTTGGTGAACATGCGACCAGTGACCAAATGTAGGTTTACTCAATCCGTAAGTCAGCGTACTTCGATACGCATTCATAACAGCTGGCTTCCCCAGTTGGCTAGTGTCAATGCGTTCACAAGGTGGCCATGGACAGCAACGTTGCGGACGTTTGCCGAAACGCACCCGAAGGTCGGCACACACACAAGGGCGTGATGGGAGTCCACGCTCGCGCTCAAAATCCAGCGGTAGTTTTGGACGCACCCTCTCCAGTGGTAAATGATAGCGACGTCATCGACTTGCGTCCAAGGCTGGTCCGAGTCTGGTGGTCTTGGAACGTTGCTTTCCTTCTGCTCTCTGCACTGCCCTTCGTCTCTGGTCTCTGCCACGCCAATCAGCCGGGGAGGAAACAGAACACAGAAGCCTGCTAGCCCGAAGTGCATTAGGCACAGAACACGGTTCGTTTTATAAGTCAAGAGCTATCATCTTCTGTTGTAACTTCCTGAGCTGACTCAAGCCACTTGCCCTGGACAGATTTCCAACCTGCTTGTGCCCTGTCACGTAGCAACCTGTTTCATGCTAACGGTCTGATTTCATCAGCTTCCCGCGTGACTTAGCCGTGTTACCGCCGCTCAGGTAGCAATCCATGTGATGAACTGTGTTAATCAGCTTCCCACATGACTCAGCCCTAGTAACGCAACAGGTGTACCAATGATTGGCGTCCCGAAACCCTCACATCCTTATGCGGCGGTCTCCGATTAGGTGGGCACCAAGTCATTGTTCTGCGGGTGCTATGTTTAAAGTTAGTGCTCGCGAGAAAGAGAGACGAGCATCTTCACACAGGTGGAGCAACCGCTCACCGCTATCATAACGGGAGCTTACACCATGTTAGCCGCCCAGATGAAGAGCGTCAGATGAAAATTTTCCGACTTAAGCGTTTAGATCACCAGCAACCACCAGAGTAGCCGTACTATTGCAGTAAGGAAGGAGATCGTTAAGTTTGTGGTGGAAATCATCTTTTACCGAATCAGTGCTGAAGTTTGTGGAGGCGTAGGCCGCAATAGCGAACACGCACCGTATGTCTCCGCGCGAGTTCGAAGCCTGGAACGAGACAGCAGCAGATATCGATTGAGAGGGTCTCCAGTGTCCGGGCAAGTGTTGCGTGTTGGTCAATCTGCAACAATGTGCGCATCGAGGCATGCCAGTCATACGATCGAGGGCCCTAAATAGAAGCAAAAGTACTGACGTAGTCCGTTCGGCTGGAAATAAACTTGTCGACTGAACCGAAGCGAAGCCCTGAAATTGCGTGTGTCGAAAACAGAAGATAAACGATTGTTGAACCAAGACGAGAGGGCCAGGAATCGGGGGGGGGGGGGTTAAAACATGGGGATAAAAGTGAAGTTGGAACGGGAAGATAAAGATACAAAAAAGCGGGAGGAAGAAGGGGAGGTTGGAGCAGTAGCATATAGATCACTATCCATCCTGCTCGATGCGGCATACAGGGCGTTGTTTAATATCATCTGCGACGGCTAGAGTATCGAGAAATTGTTTGAATGCAAGGTTATTGCGTTGCGTTAGGACAGCGTTAGGCTGCCCAGGCCTAGAAAGCTGAACGATTAGGGTACCCTATGGAATGACTCAGAGTTGAGAAAGTGAACTACTGGCCTGGTAGGGAGAAATGAGGTCTCAGACTACTACGTTGGGTTTTACGGGACTTAGTTTTCAATACTGAGGCTAAAACGGCACCAACGGCAAGTCGACTGCCAATTTCCCAATGAGCTTCTTGACTGAAGGGCGCACAGCACAAGTTATGTGAGACAATGCAAATCATGGATCAAGTTGGTAACAGTGGGAGCGATAACTGTGCGCGCAGCTCTATCTGCCCATTATAACCAGCAGTAGGAAGATAGGGTCGGTTGACAAGATGTGCGCGCCTATAACCTGGATGTTTGAATAAGTTCGCACCATGACTTTCAACAAAGTAATTTCTACTTCCATCCATTGGTAGGATCAATGTGGATGTAGAGTGGAGAAGCATAAGCACTGAGACAACATAGGTGCGCAACAGTATGTGAATTATGGCACGAGTAAAACAGATTATTGTGCAGAGTGATAAACAAGAAAAATGCTGGAAAGCAGTCTGCACAGGCGGCCGGTGGAAAGGGAACTCACCAAAGAAATCATTGGTCTTACCATCATTCTCAGTGACTGACACCACCCCGGGGCTAAGGCATGCAATGGTTGGAACGTGCTCAGCCAAAACACCGATGCGCCCAGAAAGGGTTGGAACGTCGACTTGACGAACAGCCACCTTATTATAGAACACTTGTCCAGCGGATGCAAACGTCAGAGTTAGATCGGTATTAAAATGAGCAGAAGTTTTAAACTGACGCGCACTTCTGATTACATTTCGGAAACGATAGACACGAAAAAACTGGCAACAGAAAAGGAAAATAAGTGGTCGAACAAACATACCATCTTGCAACCAAGCGACAGCGGGAGGCGGGCAATCAGTCCGTTTGCAACTTGAAAACGGCGGATAACTGTGGTAGATCATGACAAGACAGGATCTAGTGAGGAAACAGGCTTCCGCTTAACAAACGTCCCGTTTTGTGTGTAGTAAACGAAAATGAGTCCGAGCGCTGCGACTTGATAAAAATTCTTGGTTCTAATTCAACTTTATTCAGGACTAGAACGATGGGATACTCGCTTGCATGTTCCTTATTTTGCGTATAATTGGGTCGTGAATTGTTAGGCCCGCTTGACAGGTAGGGAAAACTGAAATACTGACGGCATCACACCTGGTCCAACCAACTACTGCCTACGTTTTCCTTCCCAGAAGTCCCTGCCAGGCCGGTCTATGTGAAGCAGGAAAGGGTGAAGGGTTAGTTTAGAAAACAAGGGCATCAATCTAAACCAAATAATAATAATACCAAGGTGCGAGAGGGAAACAAAAAGCGGACAGAATGTTGAAGATACAACGCGGTTAGGAAAAGTGGAAGCTATGGTACTCCTCGCTTTGAGCCGGCGTGCATTCTGTTTAAATGCCACATAAGCCCGATGAAGATACGGCTAACACGCGAGTCCAACCCGCTATAAGGTTGCTTGGCCTTTCATTAAACCCGACCAGTACTCTTTTTACCCTATGGGTCATGTAAAGCTCCAGCTTTTATTCCCATTAAATACAACGTTCCAATGTTCCAATGTATCCAAGTGCACCCAACTGAAGCTGGAAACCCTCAACCGTTAACCCTCCAACGACATGCTGCGGAAGCGAGTGCATAACTGCAGTGCATAACGGCCACGTACTAGACGTGCTTTTCGTTGACTTGCCGAAGGCATTTGACAAGGTACCCCATTTGAGGCTGGCGCAAAAGCTGACCTCCTACGGGGATCCGGCAGCGGCTTTCATTGGATGACTGCCTTGCTGGAGGATAGAGAACAGTGTGTACGGGTAGGCCGGGGCCCATCGTTTAGGCAACCTGTCCTCAGTGGCGTGCCGCAGGGGTCGGTCCTCGGACCGCTGCTCTTCTCTATCTAGGTGGATGACCTACTCGCGGAGCTTGAGGTACCATCGCTGCTATTTGCTGATGGTCTGAAGCTGTGTAACATTGTCGTTGTTCCTGGGGGTACCGAAGCTATTCAGCGAACGTTCGATAAGCTTTGGAACTGGTTCGGGTACTGCCCATAGATTAGGCAAAGTGCTCCGTTCTTCGAATTGGAGTAGGTTGTCCTCCTACGAAGTACTTGGTCGATGGGGTCGAACTCCCCCGTGTATCTAGCCAGGTTGACCTAGGCGTCATACACCTTTCGACTTTACGCTACGGCGCCAACTGGAAGAAGGCCGGAATCAGACGTTCCCGCATGTTGTGGTTAATACGACGTTTTTCGGAACCTTAACGCGCAGCAACGTTACGTGAATGTTTTTGGCTTTCGTTCGGCCTCATCCGGCATACTGAGTCCAGCATTGTCCGCCCTGCCTCCTCCGGGACCAAACGGAGGGTTTTACAGGTAAGTACTAGGTTAGTCGATGGATTACGGGGAGGGACGTACCCCGAGCGTCTACTTAGCTTTGGAATGCATTCAAAGCACTACCGAAGGCTTAGGGGAGACCTAATCCTGACCTACCGTATCTCAACTGGGAAGGTTTGTCCAGATTTATCTCGGCTATTCATCCCGCTAGATTGTCTGTTCTAAGGGGTCATTCCTTGAAGATGCACAAACCGCGGTCCCATCGGATTAGGTCGGAAACCCGGCTGTCAAGCAAAATAATCTAGCGTCGGAACATGATTCCTGAAACGGTACTCAGGGAATCTATGGTTAAAGCGTTAGAGCGACAACTTGAGGCGCTTGGGTGGCAACACGAAAGCTTTTCATTTTCCTGAGTAACTCGCATACACGTACTTCGATATTCAGTTCTCTACTTTTCTTAACGCAGTGGTATTATTTTCTTATTTCAAGTACACTTCCTTATTCTGTACCTTTGTTTTCTCTTCCTATCCTTTGCTTACTTCAAATGACTGCCACAGCAGAGAAGGCTAGGGCAGGAAACGCGGTCATTAACTGGTTGGCCAGGGTGCGAAACGGGTGTTCCGTGTTTAATCCAGCGATAACTATGAGCACTTCATCTATTGCTGTCTCAACGATCCACTCAAGGTGGAACACTCACGGGGTTCTCCTATCGTGCCAGTCCCACCAGCAATTGAACTTGAAACTTTTATAACCTCGGCGCGGCAAGCGGGTTGCCGTCCTCACCCGGGCAGAACGCATTTTGTGCAGCTTCAACGAGTGACTTCCGAGACTAGGCAGCTTGACGGGACTAAATAGCCAGGACCAGTCTGGACCGGTCTGACCCGTTAGGATGCCGTAAGAGAGAATCAAGTCTCCTCTGTTTCTATGGTAGTGTCTTGAGTATATACCCAAGTTAACCTTATGTTCGGGATAAGTTTGCCCACGTACTCCCTGTACTAAGCTTGTACCCACTAGCGAAACCCTCGCCAGTTCCATCTTTCCCATACAAGGCACGGAAGAAAGCCCGATACAGGTTTATAATTGAGGTCGAACAAAAGCTGTGAACAGCTTCGCAAAGCCACGGCCGTTAGGATATTGAAGGAGCGGCGAATAAACCACCGCACACCGAACCCTTTGCAAGTAGCCATCCTCTAATTGTCCCCAGAGTGCTGGGCTGAGAAATGGACGATACCTGGCGCAACCTGTTTTGTGACAACGCGGTTTTCACTTCCGCCAACTACATATGGCTTGGGGGGCCAGCACCTCCAATGCAGTGGACAGAACCTTTCGTCTAATGTCTAGGAATCAACCATAAGGTTGCCCAATCCCCGAGCCTGTTCAAGGCACTCTGATCTGCTTCCCAGCCCCCGGGGTATCCATAATGATAATACTAATGATACAGGAGAAAAGAAACGAATGCAAGGCGCCTAACAGACTTTCATGAAGCCATGAGATAAGTGGCATTCACCAAACCTCAAGGAAGTTCAGGCAATAGAGCCAGCAAATGTTTGGCTAGGATATGTTTGAAGTCCTCGACAATGTCGTATCGCAGTAGAGCAGAAGTAATTTATGCCAACTAACGGCAACTTGGTTTAGGGAGACCTGGCTCTTTATTCTAGCCTAGCTACATGGTACTTCATTTTCATGCAATGGCCCCGCTAGTAGTCCAACGTCGCTGGTTCTACCAGGTCGGTGGGCCTGAGACCACTAAGACGCTTCATGATTTTGCACGTCTATAGTAAGCTACCACCCAGTCTGCGTCTCCTCTTTGAAAACAAACCCGTTACCTAATGGATTATCATCCGAGAGCGCACGCTAAGTTCAATTACAAGAAATCCCCAAAAGCAGCGCTCTATCACTGAACCATTTGGAACATCAATAAGCACATTTTTATTATGTTGCTACTGTGTGTACTCGGTTTCGATGTCATCAGCAGTTGATCACGCCTGCAACGTGCCTCTCAACTTCAAGTTCAGTTAAATTACAACACGGTGCGGTAACCTTCGGATAATTCCCTACGTGTTATTCCTGTGCGCGCTTTTGAACCAGGATAGTGTATGTGGGATCAATTTAAAACCAATCAAACAATCTTTGCCAACGTGGCCTGCACTAAGGTTAGGACAAAATCCAAGGACGACGCAGGCTGCTGCCGAATGGGAGTCCCTCTACTAGAACCAGTATGCAAACTGGAGCTCATAGCCCCGCTGTCGGCCATAAAAATTAAAATAAAGGCTAATATAAAGGAAACGATAGAGACAGCATAACTCTTATGGTAGTGTTAGTATAAAGGTGCAACTTATGATAAAAGATACAAAAGGTCAAGAAAATTGAGTCGGAAGTTAAGAGCCAAGTGGGAACGTCTAGTGACCTGATGATTCCCTTGTCCGTTTTGGCGAAATGTCTAAAATATTATAAAACTGCAGTTTCATATGTGCCTATGCAAAGAAGAAGGCTTGTCTGTTCGAACAAAGACTGCGCATGTTTGAGTCAACCAGACCTATCGCACCGCGCGCTTCCGGCTTTCTCACTTCGAAGAGTGCTAGGGACGTCAAGGCTAACGACTACACCTATTTCCCTAGCTTGAACCTTTTGCGGTGCCCTTAGCTATCGATATTGTGAGTTTCTATAACAAACGTCTATCTCATCATCATTCGAGGTTTCCCTGTGTTTGTAACCATTGAACGCTTCCGCCATAACTGGTGCCCCCGAAGTAAACGAAATCTAGGTATAACATGCTAATGTGTTGCTTGGAGTTTGTTAACACATGCGGTAGGTCTAACAATCTTTTAGTTATGATTAACATTTTGGGTTTTATGTCGCTTACTTTTAGCGTTTTTGCTGTGCATGTCTTCACCCAGTCCCTGACGTCTAGGTCGAAACTGTGAATACCGCGACTGCAATTACGGGAAAACAATGAAAACATGGTGCGCTCAGTTGGATGTACTTTTCAACCTGCGTGGCCGCTGATCCGTCTCCGCACTTCCTCTGCGCATCCGCAACGACGCTAGCCATATCCGCGATCTGCCATCTGATAGGAAGAGCTGCAAGGAACTTAAAGCAGCAGTACTTAATGGGACAGGGCAATCAGATCCGCAATGTGTCACAAGCTTTTGAACGGAACGGCGTGGGTTGACATGAACAATGAACAATGATTTATGACGGTCAAAATGCAGGTGTTTGACATGTTTCGTAGGGTGGTTATAGTGCGAAAAGATAGATCAAGTGATAGTGAAATCATCGGTATAAAGGGCGTTTGAAAATAATATGTGCACACACAAAGCGATATTAGGTGTATGTATTGATCACATACTAAGCTAGAACAACTAAAAATAGCAGGGACAGCGCTTACTCGTGTGCAGCTATCTCGGGTCGACGGGATACAGAAACCCAGTTTCCACAGCAGTAGCGTTTTGCAACTTGTGTTCAAGGGGTTTGGAGTGATTCCTTCTCCAGTAGGTTTCTGGCCCTGTCCACTACCTGTTGCGCAATAGTGCCAGCATCTGGTGGCCATGCGCTAGGGCATGTA